TAATGATCTATGTAACAAAAACATATTAATTAACATCAAATAATGCTTATAGAAAACATCAAACAATGAAAGCTAAGATAACCATTATTTTTTTTCCTGTTAATGTTATGCAGGTTGATCTATCTCCCTGGAGCTTTAATTGCTGGGATTCTCGGTATCGCTGTCGATGCATTCATGATCTTGCTTATAGCCATATGCAAAAGTCCTATTATGCTTTTCAAAGGGTGGAATCGCTTGTTTCATGACCTTATAGGGCGAGAAGGTCCCTTTTTAGAAACAATATGTGTTCCATTTGCTGGTCTTATTATCCTACTTTGGCCATTAGCTGTTGTGGGTTCAGTTTTGGGCTCACTCGCCTCCAGTCTCTTCTTGGGTGCCTATGCAGGGATTGTTACATATCAGGTTAAATTATTGAATGCAAGTTTCATAGGATTTGATGAATCCCTCGTCTTCTAGTTTTTATCAGAGCTAATAAACGGACTCAATTCAATGAAATTCATTGTTTGCATTATAGATTACGTGATGTATGCTTTATGTCTATACATCACCAGATTATATCAATCTTTTGGGGCTTATGTTTGCAGGAGGCTTCTTTTTTATTGGGGCTGCGATACATCGTTACATCCTTGTCGATTTATGATGAATACAGCAACGATATTCTTGGCATGCGAGAGGGATCGTGCTTTCCCAGGTTTTACTCGAACGCTTAATTAAGTAGGTTATCCTCTCTCCCCCATTCTAGTTTTTCTGATATTATAATGACTTATTATAATGAAGGCTAAATTATCAAAGAAAGGAGGGCCAATCATCAATGGCTGGTTCACGTACATCCTCCTCAACCTCAAATCCACCTTCACGCATGAATTCGCTCAACAAACCTATGATTGATTGGAAGTCATTTGATGTACTTTTGCTCATTTTAGACCACATAAACCTTACCAAGTATTTTTTTGCGATATTTCTCTGAATGGATGTGTAAAGCTCTGATACTGTGTGGGTTTATGTTTATCATCTCTGTAGCCGGTTGATAGGTTGTTTAAGGAATGTCAACGCCATGGAGAAACTATGGTTTGTGAAGGAATAATAACGTCAAATGATATTGAAGATGCAAAGTCAGGCAACGGAAGCAAAGTTATTAGCATTGGCTTACCAGCTTTTTGCATTCTTGAAACATTATTACGCTCTGCAAAAGCAAATACATCTGGACTTCTGTTAAGTGAGCATCTGATTTATTCCTCCATTAGATATGAATCATGATGATTTCTTTGTCACTCTCTTGGTTCTTTCAAATGAATGCAGGTGACAACGTTACAGAAATTTCTAGCACAAACAGGCCCAAGGATACCTTCTCTGATTGGTTTTTTAACCCACTTTTGATGATCAAAGAACAAATTAGAGCAGAAAAACTTTGCGAGTCAGAAGAGGAATACTTATATAAATTAGTTCTGTTGAGTGATGATCCTAAGAGGCTGAAAAGTTTAACCACTGTAACGCCTCCAGAATCCGAGCGAAGACAAGCTGAACTCGAAGCGCTAGCTCGAAGGTAGGAATTTCAAATATCAATAAAGATACAGTGATCCTTTATATGTTGTTAATGTATTCCTTAACTCAGTTTAGTCTAACCCTTCTTTCCTCTTCCTTGGGACTATTTGAAGGCTTCGAGGAATCACTAAATCCATCTCAAGGTATCCAACTTTCAAGCGCCGTTTCGATAATCTTGTAAAGAAGTTATCTGAAGAACTTTCGAAGAAAAATGGTTCTTTCCAATCAACCAATGGAAGTAGGTCGTTATCAAGGTCAAGAAGTGGATTTGGCAGATGGTTCAGTCAAAAATCTTCAAACGACAAAACAAGCTATAGAGGGTCTGAGACAGAATCTCATCCAGACGAAACAGATATCGAAATTGTTTAGGGAGGGTAGATTGGAAGTAGGGTCGAACTTCTGTAATTCTTTAGTTCTTTTCCAAGTGTTATATTGATGGCAATAAACGTGTACTTTTAGTATATATGTATAGGTTATATGATATTTCAAGTGCTATAATGATTCTTCATTTCAACTGAACCTAATTCATTTTCCAGTACAGGTCACACATTTTCAGGTTTTTCCTAGAGCAACCGGGAAATCTGGCATGGGACATGATGGATAAGGCATCTCTACCTCTCTCTATAAAAGGTCGTTAATTTAAACTCTCCCTCTACTCTCTAGTATTCTGAGGAAAATAGGAAGCCCTGATTTGGTTCTTTTTGTCATTTAAAAACGAAGTGTGTTAGTTCATGACATTGAGCAGAAGAGACTGAAAGAAAGCAAAAAGTTTCTATTAGAGCGAAACTTACAGGGAGCTATAAACCACCGCTTAACTTCTATATGCATGCCATGAAAATTTGTGTGTTCTATATTTGCATATATAGTAAGAGGTACACACAGAGAGAGAGAGAGAGGAAATAAACCATCACATCCCTGCTTGGTTCTGCATCTCACTCATAAAACTTTTCTTTAGCCTTCTTTCACCATGTCTGTTCTCACCACCACCACCACTCCCTAGCAGTTTCAGAAACAGCAAAACCATTTTTTCTGCATCCAAGCACAAAAATTTGTAGTAAATACTAGCCAGATAGCAAGAACGTGAAGCCATAGCCGAGTAAGTTCGTGAGATGTATATGTATATATTTTTTGAGTTCGTCTAGAGGTATGAATAGAGACTTCTGATCTTTTGGTTGGTGATATAACATGTTGATAGATTGTATTATTACTTATATATTCTTTGAGTTCATCTGGAGGTATACGTAATCTTTTGGTCGGTGACTTTTGATCTTTTGAGTTCATCTAGAAGTATATGTATTAAATTTTTTGAGTTCATCTAGAGGTATGAATTGGGACTTTTGATCTTTTAGTCGGTGATATAACATGTTAATCGAATTAGTAAATGAGATTACTTACCATGGGGGAATATTGATAATTCTCTTCTGGTCTGGATGCATTGTTTTTTGCTGCTGTGTTCCCCGGAGCCTCATTTGACTTCTTCTCGTCTCTAGCTTTGCTAAATATTACTGTAAAGCCTTCGGCTGAGGCCGGGTTGTTGACATCCCACTCGCCGAACTTCGGCAAGGGGCGACCTCTATCCTGCTATAGACATCATTAGAAACATACATATATCAGGATTCAGATCTTCATTGATAAACTTTACTTGTGAAGTCTGTGTTTGTCAGTTCTTTAAATGCACTTCTCTGTTGCATAGAATGTTCCATTTTTATGTGTAGATCTGTGAGATCCCACCTGGGAACAAAACATTCTTATGTATGAAAATCTCTCCCCAATAAAAATGTTCGAAATCTTTCTGCGGTTGGGGGAATCAAGCAATGCAGGCATGGCAGGGAGAAACAAAGGGAAGGTAATTCATGGTTATATATTGACGTCCGTTCCATTTTGAATGTTTTACCACAAAAAAATGATACAAAACATCATAGGTAAGCCATGCCAAGCCAGATCATAGATTTATATCTGAAAGTTTCGATGGTCGTCTCAATTGCTTGCTAGCTCGATACGAGCAAATGACATAGATTTGTACATTTACCATGTCTTACAATACAATGGCTACATGTTTTTCATTCAGTACAGGTAAAAGTTGCAGAATCTCCATACAGAGAGAGCAAACGTCCGAAACGGTTCGATCAAACTGGATCGATGAAGAAACAGGGATGCAAAGATGCATACAGAATAGAGGAATAGATGAAAGAAGGAGAAGAAGAAGAAGAAGAGGAATCTTACCGAAGCCATTAAAATACATTAACAAAGCTTTGTGCACAGAAAATGAAACTGAGAGAAAGAGAGAAGGAAGAGGGAAGAGGGAAGGAAAGAGGGAGAATGGAGAGTTGGAAGCTAAAATGGGAATAACAGAAACCGAGTATTTTGGAAAAACTCCATTTTAAGGCCGTTTCTTCAGTTTCTTACATCACTTCCACATTTCTTTCTTTCTTCATTACTTGCACCTCTACTATCATTCTATTATTATTATTTTGAGTTCCATAGTCTCGAGCATAGGTCGTTTCGCCGTAGGCGACGTAAAAACGAATAGGCTTAACTCGCTTGTTGCTGAGAAGTGAGTGCTGCACAATCACAAGTCCGCTGCCATTAGAGTGCGATTGTGAGACCTCTTAAACGACAATATATGTGAGATCCTGAAAACTTTTTTTTATAAGGGTTCCACACCCGACCATATGCTTTGAAAGTTTGAAAGGAAAATTCAAAAAAGACAATATCTAATAGCAGTAGGCTTGGGTCGTTAGAATATATGTTCGTTATGATTGTTTAAATCACAAAAATGTATGGTAAAAAGTTTATCGATGTTATTCAAAGTGAAATGGATGAGTATAAACTGTTAAACTAACATGAATATAGCTCAACTGATATAAAGTATATATGTTCGACCAAGAGATTAAAGATCAAAATCTCCCTTTATTATGCATTTTTTTAATATACATCCAAATTTTCATTTGAAAAAAATATTTTATAAAAAAAAAATTATTATTGAAAATTTTAAAAATGAAAAAAAAAAACTTAAATAGTAATTTATATAATTTAACAAAAAAAAAAACAATAAAAATAAGTGACGTGTTGATGTGAAACTAACTAACATGCAGTTTATGGAAGACACACGCCCACGCTCCCGAATAATAATTAGGCGCTATAAATGACTGTTCGAAGATTGGTCCACGCTGTCACTCTTTTTGACGGCTCACATTCATCCACGTCATCAATACGCCACCTAACCTCTCATAATTATCCATTTAAATCAAAAATAAGTTTTTCCCTAATGAAAAATACATAATATTATTTTTAAATAATTCGACCAATAAAAAAATATCAATTCATTAAAAAAAAAAATATATAGTATTTATTTATTTATTTATTTTTGTAGTTTATATTATATATAACCAAAATTTTATTTGAACAGGCCGACCATATCGCCAAGGTTCGAGCATTTCTCTGTTCTTTTCCTTCTTCTGATAGTTTTTTTTTTTTTTTTTTTT